GTACTTCCGCGGTTTCCTACATGGCCACCAGACACAATGTTCGTGACAACGGAGCATCCCGCTTCAACACCAATCGTTCGAGGGAGCAATCACGAAGCCAAGGGCAACATGCTTTTTCATCTTCCTGCCCTCGAAGACGCAATCCTGCCAACGAAGGTGTTTCAGGTCCTTCTATAGAAGATCGAATGCGTAGAATGGAGGAGTCTCAACTAGGAATCCTACGACTCCTATGCGGGGCTCAACAACAGCTGCCCACACCATTAACTCCGCGACGTACGAGAAACATTCCACTCGGAAGAACTCGTACCGGCCCACCTCCTCAAGAAGGAACACATTCCCTGTCAGGTTGTGATGTTGAACTCCTAGATACCGCAAGTTTCACTCATCCATCTCGTGCAGCTCATCCGACATCGCCACATCTTCCTGTCATTTCAGATGATGTCATTCGCAATAAACTACAAAGCCTCGTCCGGGAAGAGTTTTCCCTAATAAAAAAGGATCGTTTCTACACTCACCGCAACATACACAAATCCTCTCCCTTAGTGGATGCGGTCCTCCAATACCACATCCCAACAGCCTTCAAACTTCCGAACATCGATACATATGAAGGGATAACCGACCCCTACTAACATATTGATCATTATCAAACTATTATGCACATTCAGCGTGCCTCCGATGTACTTCTGTGTCAAGTGTTCCCGACTACTCTTAAAGAACATCTGATTCTACTCTCTGCCATGTGGCACTATAAATAATTTTAATGAGCTTGTCAGACAGTTTGTAGAACAGTTCGTAGCAAACCGATGGATCATCAATGATTCATCTCATCTCTTGGGAATTCGTCAAAGCGAAGGAGAATCATTGAAGAATTACTTCTGCAGTTTTTCTACTGAAGTCCGACAGATCCCGAGAGTAGATCCAGAGTTACTAAGAAGACTCTTTCTTGGGGGGCTCCGCCCAAAACCTTTCTACTCATCGTTGATGTAAGAATCAGTTCATTCTTATGTTGACCTTGTTCACCGTGTTGAGGCGCAAATCTCTGCAGATGAGGCCATCATTGCTCACAAGGAACAATTTGAGGGAACAGGGGGCAA